TGGCTAAGTGCACTCTGGGAGGGAAATACAATTAGCACTAAGTGGGACAGCCATGATGGCCAGAGCCTTTGTTTTGACTAATCTCATTTTTTTTTTTTTTTTTAAAGCAGGGTCTCATATAGCCGAAGCTGGCCTTTAACCCTGACCCTCCACCCCAACCTCCCAAGTCCAAGGGTTACACCATACTCAAGTCACACTCAAATGTATGTGCTGCTGGTGATTGCACTCAGGGTGTCATGTATGCTAGGCAAGCATTTTCTACCAGCTGGGCTACATCTTCAGTCCATATCAGAGGTGCTTTGTTATAAGAGACCAAAAGAATATTGACAACTCATCTTGTCTTTATGCTTTTGTGTCCATTTTTGCCTGAAAAATGAGGTAATGCAACAGAAAAGCCTCAGAAAAAAATGACAGCCTGGAATGATGGCACACACCTAAAGTCTAGCCCTGGGGAGATGTGGTAGGAGGATCACTGTTTAAAGCCAGCCTGCGCTACAGTGTAAAATCCTATTCTCCACCCTATTCTCCACAGGAACCTACATATGACATAGACTCATGGGCAATCACACACACACACACACACACACACACAAATTTTACAGATAAACCCTGTATCAAAAACAAAATAAAATAAAAAATAGAAGAGGGAAAGGGGAGGCTCTTGAAAATTCCCAAAGAAATGTAAAAACAAACAAAAAACCCCAGCCCTTTAGAGACTTAAATCATAGCCTAAGTCAGAAGACACCCTGAGAGGAGACCACCACCACCCTCTACTACCCCTAGCAGTTTGTCTGGATAGGTAGGCTGATTAAATTCTCAAGAGACCAAAAGGTATCTAGATAGTCCCTTAAAGATCTCAGAACTGCTCACCTCATTTACTTGGGGAGGAAGGGGGGGGAGGAGAATAATTAAGACAGAAAATTGCCTTTAGGGACACTTTTACTTGGAAAATTACAACACTAGTACAAGTCAAGTCTTACACATTTAACATTTGCTTGTTCAAAGCAATTCATAATATCAAAATTAATCATGTTTTACTTTTATCCTCACAAGAACACAAAAATGATGAAGGGGAACTTAAAACAGAAAAATTTAAAAAGGTAACACAACTTTTCTTAGTAGTCCTTGGGTAGTTACGACAGAAGACTTTCCATCTTTTGTTTCTTTGAATGGAGACCTTGAACCAAAGTCTTGTTTGTTTCTAGTATCTGCTTCTGCCTCCCCCTCTATCAGAACGGCTTCCTCCACGGCCACCCCCTCTTGGTGCTCCTCGGCTTGAACTGCTGTAGGAATCACGTGGAGGAGGGTACCCCCTTTCCATGGAAGGCGGGAGCCCCCGTTCTTGTCTGCCAACACGATCACGACCACTTGAGTAGAGATCACTTCTGCTGCTTGAGTAACTGTCTCGGCTTCCACCGTAGCCATCGCGTGAGCTGCTGTAATCATCATAGCGACTGCTTCCTCCATAAGATGGTGGCGGCCCTCGTGTAGGGGGTGCACTGCGTGAGTTACCGTAACTCTCATATGAATCTCTGTAGGAACCTCCACTTGGATGATCTGAATAGTCACGATCCCGACCATATCCATCTCTATCACCATAGCCTCTTGATGGGTAGTCATCACGTGAACTGGAATGACTGTAATCTCGGTAAGTATAATCTCTTGGTGGTGGCGCATAATCTCTGGTGTCACGGGAGCTTGGGTAATCTCTGCTTGAATAGCTGTCTTTTGTAGAATATCCATCATCTCTTGGGGACAAATAAACATCTCTACGGGATGGCAGGGGCTCCCTTCGTGGAGGGCCTCCATAGCTATCTCTTCCACGTGACACTGGGGCTCTTCCTCCCATTCCACTGCTGCTTCGAACTGGTCCTGAAGGCGTTGATCTTTTCGGAGGGGGACCCCCGCTTCGTGGTGGCGGTCCTCTTTTTACTGGAAGTGGTCCTCTGGAAGAACTCATGTTAAAGTTCATGGAATAGCCACCGTCATCCATGTATCCTCCACGGGAAGGGGGTCCCCTAGTTCCTCCACTTCCTCCTCGAAGACCTCTGGGAGGGCCTCTGCTTCTTGGAGGTGGAGGTGGTCCACGCCTGCCACTTTCAAATGATGGTTTGGTAGCTTGCTCCACCTTGATGGCTTTTCCATCCAAGGACTTTCCATTCATATCTCTAGCTGCATCTTTAGCATCTGCTGGGCTTTCGAAAGTGACAAAAGCAAATCCTCTTGATTTGTTGGTTTCACGGTCTTTCATCAAAAGTATTTCCACTATTCGTCCATACTTGCCAAATACTGCTTCCAGGGCTTTCTCATTTGTTTCTGTATTGAGCCCGCCAATGAAGAGCTTCCCTGGACGATCTGCTTCAACCATCTTTCCTTCCAGCTCAGAGTCGGAGAGGAGTGTGACGGTCTCAAGCTCCTAGAAGCTCGCAGAATGGGCCTTCCAGAAGCACACCGGTGACAGCTGCTGGTCTCAGAACAGAACAGAAAAGCCACTAGGACTACTGCACATGAGCACCTGTCAATATTTTTGTATTAGTTTCCTCAGGCTGCCGTAACAAGCATTGTAAATGGGTGGAGGGGCTAAATACTGATTTTCTTATAGTTCAGTAAGTCACTATGAAGGTGAGGTTTCTACTAGAAGCCTGAACAAAAATCTGTACCATGCCTCTCCTAGCTTCTAGTGGTTGTCAGCAGTTCTTAGGATGCCTTGGCTTACAGATATCTTAAGCCAGTTTTATGCTTTCACCCATGCATACATGGTGTGTATACTCCACCTGTCTCATACATACCTTCACATGGGTCCTAAAAGGACAGCAGTCATTGGATTTCAGACCCACCTTAATCTAGTATAACCTTTTCTTAGCTAATTATACTTAAAACCATCTCATTTCTAACAGAAGCCAAATTCTGAGATTCTGGAAGACATGCCTTTTAAAGGGGACATTACTGAAAAGTTACTTAGAGAAAAGGATATACGCTGATATAGTTCATCTAAAGGAATCTGTCCCATCACTCTGGGTTATCTGAGTAGTTTCTAAATCCAAGCACAAGTATCTCTGTAATATACATACAGAAAATGATAATGTTGACAATGGGTATAGAGTTAACGATGTAGCCACTAGAGATATGCAGGGGAATGTGATGCCAAACCAGCAGAGACTAGAGCATCACAACCTTAAGTCAAGGAAGCCAGGGAATGCCAACAGCCACAAGGAGCTGGAAAGGGCCTTAAGAGAACATGTGGCCCTCCAACATCTCCATTTCAGACTTTCTTCTTTAGACATCTACTGGTTTTTTTTTTTTTTTTTTTGGGTGGGGGAAGTGGTGATGGTGTTATTTGTTATAGCAGCCCTAGCAAACTAATACAATCCTTGACAGTAAAATTCTCAATGAACTATCGTTAAAATATTCTTCTATGAATTAAGATTCTGTTCTAAACAGATCAGTCTCTAGAAAGAATTTGAGCAGGCTTACTCAAGCCAGCACCATCTCTGTGAGGGCCTTTTTAAATCTGAGGCAGATGTTTTGAACTGAGAAAACTACTGAAAGGAAACTGTTATAAATTTTACTTCCTAAAACTCCACTTACCTTGTAACTGACTTCTAGTAAGCTTTTATCACGTTTCATGTACTTCTTTTGCCTGATAAATTGTTAAATGTCTCCCTATTAAGTTCTTTTTATCTTGAGATTAGCTTGTCTTCACGCTGCCTGATGCATAATTACCCGGCAGTGGGGGCTGTGCAACTGGGAACTGATAGTACAACTGCTTAAAGCAGCTTAGTTTTTGGATATCGAGTCATATCAGCAAGACAAAGTTAAATAGAGCAAACTGCAAGCCGAGTCTCTTTCAATCTTTGAATGCATCCAGAATGAAAGACTGGTACAATCTCTTTCGAACGTTACGTTCCATAGTAAACTATCCAAGGAGCTGATACCAGGCTGCTTCAAAATGTCCCACAATACTTTGTTCCTTTCTTTCTTTGGGTGCATAAAGAGGAAGGGTAGATGCTTGGAAGACCATTCGTGAAACTATGTCAATAGGTCGCCAGAATGCAATGCAGGAGACCGAGGGGCGGGCATCAGACCCTCCACCCTGGGTCTCGACCCTCACTGCTTTTGTTCTCAGTTCCCGGCCCCCTCAGTCGTCCTGTTGCTTTAGTGGTTCAGCTCCGGGGTCAGGCAGAGGCCCGCACCACGCGGCCTCCGGAATCGACCGCCCACGCGCAGCACACGGGTGGGGAGGAGCATGTATGGTTCTCTCACCGCCCCCCAGGGAAGATTTGCCCCATCCCGGCCGTCCTCCCCACTCCCGGGGCGGGTTCTGGCCGGGAAGGCGGTCGGGCAGAAAGGCCCGGGCAGGCCACCGACCTGGCGGGAAGGCCCGGCCCGCCTTCCCCGCCTTCCCGCCGCCGCCGCCGCCGCGGGAAGGCGGGGGGCCTGCCGTCCCACATGTCTGCTCGGCCACCGATTTTCAACCTACCCCCGGGGCTAACGCTTCCCCAACTAGGAAGCCGCTTTCCCGCGCCGGTCGCCACACGCGTCTGCCGCCGTCGCTCCCGCCGAGAACCAGAGGCCGCGAGTGGCCTCCCCTCCCCCCGCGCAACGTCAACGCGACGTCGGCCGTCGTCGTAATGTCCTGAGGATGAGCGCACTAGAACCGCCAGCACCCGCGCGCGCAGTCGCCGCCACCGCCAAGTCCGGTACTCCTCCGGAGCACACCGCACGTCCCTGGGGCTCAGGGCGGAGCGAGAGACGTCCTCTGCGAGGCATGCCCGGGAACTCGGGAGGCCGTCCCTATAGCTTTACTGCGGCGACAGCCACGATGAGCCTCGGCGTCTGGGGCGCCTCGTCCCGCTCCCCCGCCGCGGGCTTCCCCAAACTTGGCCACGTATGCATGGCAGCGGGTCCTGCTAGTGCAATCGGTCACCTCCCCATCCTCCTCGCTCGCCCGGTGCGCCTCCATGCTCCCTCCTCGGTATCCCGGAGTCCTCGGGCCAAGTGCGCGTCTATTAGGAGGCGCGTGGTAGTGATGGCGGCGCTCAGAGAGGCTTTCCTGTCACTGGATACTACTACTCCCAGCCCGCCTCAGAGCCGCCCGAGCCAGCCCTCCGGTCTTTAGTTTACGAGTGGCAATTTGACTTGCTCTGCTGCATGTCTGGAGGGGCCGAGGGAAGAGTGGAGACGCCCCGGGGATTCAGGGATCGCTGCTTGGAAAGCCAGCCAGCCAAACAAATAAACAAAACCCACCCACCCTAAAAACATGAGGCTGCTGGAGAGGGCGAGGAAAGAATGGTTCATGGTCGGGATAGTGGTGGCGATCGGCGCCGCTAAGCTGGAGCCGTCGGTCGGAGTGAACGGGGGTAAGTGCCGCCCCTCGGTCGGCTGCACGGCGGCGGCTTCCACTTCAGAACCCAGCCGCGAGTCTGCGGGAGGAGCGGCCGCCCTGGTGCGGTGTGCGCCGCCGCCCTTCCCACGCCCGGCAGGCGTTTGCAGGTGGCTCTTACCTGCTAACCCAGAAGGGGACTAGGAATGGGGCAGAGGGATTGGAGTACAGGTTGCCTTTTCTGCGAGCAGTCAATGACTTCTGCTTAGTGCCGGGAGTGAGGTTACAGAAAATGAAACTTACTCCTCTTGCTTTCAGAGTAGCATCCCATGCCGAGGGACTTTAGGTTGCCAGGAGTTCCGTATCTGGAGTGGACCTCATTATCAAGTCTATTTCCGACTCCTCCCTTTTGTACTCCCCCAGCCCCAAGAAAAATATGCTATTGGAGAGAAGAAAAAAATGGACACCCTTGCCCCAAGCTTCGTCTTTTTGGCTCATATGATGGAGAGTGGTAATGTGCCTTAGTTGCTGACGCTCCAAAACCCCCAAGCTGACTGACACGTTGCACTCTTTCCTTACAGGATACTACTTCCGTGTGCTGCTGGGATTCAGTTGCTACAGCAGCAGTGTAACAGATGCAGACTGTTAGGCTGCGCACAGTGTATGCTTTGACAAGGGAGTGTGGATGGGTTAAAACCCCCTCAGATCTGGGAATAGTAGGAGCTTTGTAATGTGGTCTGTGGACACTGGTGGGGACATGGCAAGTGCCATTGGCCTTTCATACCCTCTCATCCACCTTAAGACAGCCTTGCCCTGCTTTTCATAGACATTAATTAAATTTCTTCAATTTATTTGTGTTTTTGACCTTGTGTGTTAGATCCCAGATTTATTGACAGATAAATCGTGCAGTGGATCCAAGTAGGGGCAGAAGAGAACATACATAATCATTTTCAAGTAGGAGGTACCCAAGTGGGTATTTGAAATTGTACCTTCTTGTTAAAACCTTCCGGAAGGGAATGCATAATATCTCAGAATAATAAATGGTTCCTTGTTTCCTGCATCCCTAGTTTCTCCATTTAGAAGTAGCTTCTGGAATCATTTAAATGGATTTAAGACACTGATGATTTCATTTTTTTTCCTTTCAAATTTACATATTTTAAAATTTAAGTGCACCATATAAAATGCATAGTTGTGACCACAACTCTGTCATTTATCATGCTGAAGCTACCAGTTTGGTCCCCCTCCAGTCCCCACAGGGTTTCTCTGTGTAGCCCTGGCTATCCTGGTGCTCCCTCTATAGACCAGGTTGGCTTTGAACTCAGCCCTGCCAGCCTCTGCCTCTATAGTTTTGATACACCCTTTCTGTGGGCTTTGGTGAAGTTTGGGATTTTGAGTTCTGTTCAATGAAGAACGTCTCATCCCTGGAGTTGTGAGAAGGGTAGTTCTAGTGCATTTGAAGTGACCTACTGAGCACACTATACTGATTGATTACACTATACTGATTACTGACTAGCTTTCTATTTGCTCAGTATTGAGATGAAATTCATGGTGATGTGGCCTGTAACTCTGTGGGAGCTGAGCTTGCCAAATGTCTTCTACCTTGAATTTTCTGAACGCTGTGTGGACAGGACAGTTTCTGAATGGTTGAATGAGTTTCTTGGGGCTTCTTGCTCTGGCAGGTAGAAGACAGGTTTTGTGATCTTGTTTGTTCTATTGAACACTGCTTATTGTGCTTTTGCACAGTATGTTGTCTTAGAAATATTTTCCATTTTCAACAATCCTTATGGCAGTAATACAGGTTTTTTTTTTGTTTGTTTTTGTAGTCATAAAATAGAAGCACAAACACTTGCTACACACACTCTACCCTGAACCACTTCCTCAGCAACCCCCTCCCTCCAAGTGCTTCTTTTGTAATGGTAAGGCCTGAAGCCAGGTAACACAGGGAGAGTTTAGTGTAGGGGATAATGGAGACAGCTTCCTCTTTTATAATAACACTGGCAAAAGTCTGTAATAATGGTTTTACAGAGAGCAGGAGAGCCAGAGAGAGAGAGAGAGAGAGAGAGAGAGAGAGAGAGAGAGAGAGAAATAATCAGAAAGCCCTGTAGAATACTCTATACTCTGATTTTTAGTTCAGAGGACCAGGGCAGAATCAACTAATTAGACATCACATGTTTCTTCTAGGGCCTTGCATGTGTGTAAACTACTTAAGAAGAGCCAGACAATTGGGATTTTCTGTGTAGTTGTTAGGTTGAGAGCTTAATTTTTGTGACCATGTCAGTTGATGGTCTCACAAGTAAATCCTGTTGAATAAAAAACAAAACTCAAAATAGGATCAAGCAACACTTTCACTGTGCTCCTTATCAACAAAAAAAATAATACAGGCAGAAATGTCACTGAAAATATTTCTCTCATAACCCTTTTTTGTTGTTTGTTTATGTTTTTTGAGACAGGGTTTCTTTGTGTAGCCCTGGAACTCACTAAGTAGACCAAGCTGGCCCCGAACTCAAGAGAGATCTGCCTGCCTTTGCCTCCTAATCACTGGAACTAAAGCCATGTACCATCACTATCCTCTCATCCTTATAGTCCCCTAAAGCATCTCTTGTAGGTTCCAAATAACAGGTTTTGCATGCTGGAAATGTGATTCTTTATTTTTTGTTTTGTTTTTCTTAGACAGGGTATCTCTATAGAGTCTCTATAGAGCCCTGTCTATTTTGTAGATTGCTATATAGATCAGGTATATGGCTTCTGCCTCCCAGGTGCTAAGATTAAAGGTGTACAAATGTGATTTTTAGAAGTTTAATCTATTAATTTTTTTTTATTTTTTTATTGTATTTTTTTGGTTTTTCGAGACAGGGTTTCTTCATAGCTTTGAACTCATTCTGTAGACTAGGCTGGCCTTGAACTCACAGAGATCAGCCTGTCTGCATGTGAGTACGGGACTAAAGGTGTGTGCCACCACCGTCTGTCAAATCTATTAATTAATGGTGTGTGGTGTTCCTGTGGAGGTCAGAGGACAACTTGCAGGAGTTAGTTCTCTTCTACTATGTGGGTTCTGTGGGTTGAACTCAAGTTATCTGGCTTGGTGTCATGCAACTTTACCCACTAGGCCATCTAGGCCATCTTGTCAGTCCAGGAACTCGGTCTTTTAAATGCATTCACAATAATACACTCTCCTAGACATGCTTTTATTTTATTTAGTTTATTTATTTCATTGTTTGGGACAGGGTCTCTTTATGTTGTTTTGTCTGGTCTGGAACTTGTTATGTTGATCAGGCTGGCCCTAAACTCACAGGGATCCACCTACCTGCTTCTACCTCTCAAGTGCTGGGATTAAAAATGTGCATCACCGTGCCCCCTACCCCCTCTGTTTTGGTACTTTTTATTTTACGTTTTACTTAATGCACCTCATCTGGTTTCATTCTTTGATGACTCAACTCAGCTTTGTTTGCTCATTTTCTTTTATTTTATGGCTGTTGAGTTCAGGTTCGTGCATAAAATGCACTATATTCCTGAGCTACATGCCCCTCTTCCCCCATCCTGCCCCTTCTTTTTGGACATTTATTTATTTATTGATTTATCAATCTAGGTTTTTTTTTTTTTCAGTGTAATATTTTTAATGATTTATCTGAAAGGTCTGACCCCATCCCTTGTTACCTCCTCCTGAGAGAGAGAGAGAGAGAGAGAGAGAGAGAGAGAGAGAGAGAGAGAGAGAGAGAGAGAGAACCTCAGTCCATATACCCTTTGGAGCATGGTCAAACTCCCTCCCCACCTGCACTCCTGCCAGAAGCCATCAATTGAAGAGAATTACACTTCAACATCCTTATTGCTATATATATATAGTTGTAGTTGTTTGCTTTTTGTTTTTCGAGGCAGGGTTTCTCTGTATTGCTTTGGAACCTATCCTGGAACTCACTGTGTAGACCAGGCTAGCTTCAAACTCACAGATATCTGCCTGCCTCTGCCTCCCAAGTGCTGGGATTAAAGGCATGTGCCAGCAACACCCAGCAAGAAGAAACTCTTTGTAATGCTGAAGAATTAGTAACATTCCATAGAAGCCATTCCTGGTCTGTGTAGACCAGACTGCCAAAGAGTGCTGGGATTAAAGGCGTGCCCCACCAATGCCCTGCTATCCTTATTGCAAGTTTTAAGGATTCTCTTGAATAGCTTCCTGTCTAGGCTGTTACCTTTTAGGGTGGGGTGAGGGTAGGGTTTTACATGACTCCTTTTCAATCACCCCTAGTCAACTGGTAAATTAGTCTTGAAGAAAATGGATGGCCAACCTAGAGTCCCCTACTATTAAAGAAATTAAATAACCTTCCACACGGGAAGAACTATAATAGGTATTAGTTTAAGTTAATTAATTCTTAGTTCACTATGCTTTTTAACTTAGTTACGTTTACTTAAAATATATATATACATACATACAGTGCCTGGCAGTGATGGTGCACACTTTTAATTCTAGCACTCTGGAGGCAGAGACAGGCGGATCTCTGTGAGTTCGAGGCCAGCCTGGTCTATAGAGCGAGTTCCAGGACAGCCTCCAAAGCTATATTTTAATTTTAATTCATTCATTTTTTTTTTTTTATATTGTCTCATAATGTAGCCCTGGCTAGCCTAGCATTAGCTATATAATCTAGGCTGGCCTTCTCATGGAGACCTTCCTACCTTTTCTAGGATTGAAAGCATATGCCCAAAATGCTGCAGTTTTAGAATATTTTAGATGATACTTGGAGGTGGGATTGGCGTAGATGAGGAATGGCTTCTATGGAATGTTACTAATTCTTCAGCATTATAAAGAGTTTCTTCTTGCTGGATGTAGGTGGCACATGCCTTTAATCCCAGTACTTGGGAGGCAGAGGCAGGCAGATATCTGTGAGTTTGAGGCTAGCCTGGTCTACAGAGCCAGTTCTAGTACAGGCTCCTAAGCTACACAGAGAAACCCTGTCTTGAAAACAAAAACAAAAGAAAAAGAGTTTTTTCTCTTGCTGTTTAAAAGACTGGGTGAGGCAGGCAAGGTGGCACACCCCTGTAATCCTATATTGTTAGGGAGGCAGAGGCAGGGGGATCTCTGAGTTCTAGGACTGTCAGTTCTATAAAGAGACCTTGTTTCAAAAAGCAAACAGCAACAACAAAATAAAACGAATGGGTTTTAGAACTCAAAATGGCTTCATTTTTCTTAGTGGCCCATTTTTCTTTTGATTATGTGAGTTCCATGTTTGTTGACTAATATTTGAATTGCATTTAAAGGTAAAGGCAACCACTAGCTAACTGAACTTTATACAGATCTGAATCTTATTGTTTTGGTGACCTGGGAGATATAGTCATTAGCCTAGTAAAGGGCCAAATTTATATCCTAGTTTCAATGCGTTGTTCTGTTTAAGTATTTGCCTAGTTTTCATTTCTGCCCTGGGTGACCTCTCATCCTGAGGAGTTCCCAACTTGGGGCCACCTGTTAGCCTTACAGTTGTGTGTGTCAGGGAGGAGTCTTGGTTCTCTTTAATTCCCCCATTCCCCCTGAAAGCTCCATTGTAAGTAGCCCTGGAATAGCCCCACTACGTTTCTTGGGGTAGAATTATTTAGGTGTGCATCTTTTGTAACAAGAGTCCGTGTGGCTTGTCTCTAGAATTTGTAACATTGAAAGGGTTAGTCCACTGAATCGAATGCCACATGTTATCTGCATACGTATATCTTTGGACCTGTCTTTATCTTTTACTTGTTGCCATGTCACTGATTCTCTAAGACTCTTCCAGAAATTCTGGAGGTACCACTGCAGACTGACAAAAAGTGAGGGACTGGATGGGGAGTAAAAATAACACGAGTTAAAATTCAGGTAGTTAGCATTTCTGGGAGCAGTCTTCTTCTAAATTGAGTCAGATCCCCTGCCTGTGAATTCTGCTTGTTAGCTGACCTCTTTCGTTGTTGGAAAAGTGTCTGCCCACCCCTGAGACAGTGATGCTCAGTTTTGAAAGCAGCGTGCCTCTTTAAAACTGTGCTGCAAATGGACCAAGCGCCTTTCATGCTTGTCCCTTTGTGCCCTGCTGTCCCCCCCCTCTCTCTCTCTCTGCTGTCCCTCCCTCCCTCTCTCCCTCCCTCCCTCTCTCTCTCTCTCTCTCTGCTGCCCCTCCTCTCTCTCTCTGCTGTCCCTCTCTCTGCTGTCCCTCTCTCTCCCTCTCTCTCTGCTGTCCCTCCCTCCCTCCCTCTCTCCCTCCTTCCCTCTCTCTCTCTCTGCTGTCCCCCTCTCTCTCTGCTGTCTCTCTCTCTCTGCTGTCCCCCCCTCTCTGCTGTCTCTCTCTCTGCTGTCTCTCTCTCTGCTGTCCCTCCTCTCTCTCTGCTGTCCCTCTCTCCCTCTCTCTCTCTCTGCTGTCCCTCTCTCTCTCTCTGCTGTCCCTCCTCTCTCTCTGCTGTCCCCCTCTCTCTCTGCTGACCCTCTCTCTGCTGTCCCCCTCTCTCTCTGCTGTCCCTCTCTCTCTCTCTCTCTCTCTCTCTCTCTCTCTCTCTCTCTCTCTCTCTCTCCTGCCCCCCCTCTGCTGTCCCTCTCTCAGCTGAAGCCTTTGGGTCAGTACCAGGTATATGAATAGCTTATTACATTGTTTGAGGGAATTTTTGTTTCTTTTATTTTATGTTGTCCTACAAATATCTAAGATTTATTTGTGGGGTAATAAGTGTTTATTGAATGAGTAAATAGTGATTTCTTTCAGAGTTTGGTCATCCATCTATATACTAATAATATCAGCAGATGTGGTAGAGGGTTTATGATTGCGATCATATAATTTGACATGAAGCAAACCTAGTCTAGCAAGAGATTGCCTGAGAAATACATCAGAATGACAGAAATTTGTTCTCTTAGTTCTGTAGGCCAGATGTCCAAAGGCTATGGGGAAATCCTCTTTCTCACTTCTTTTAGCAAGTACCTTTGGCTTCCTTGACGGATGATATCATAACCCCAATCCCTGCCCTGGTTTTACTGTATGTCTATAAACATACAAACATCACTCTCAGAGTACCAGTCCCTGGGGCTGCCTGCCAGTGCTGCTCAGTGGTAGAGTGCTTGCCCAGCATGTGTAAGATCCTAAGTTCATCCCTAGTACTGCAAAAATATAAGCAGATAACTACCCAGTTGCAGGAAAACCTCATCTTGATTTCCTCTACAGTAGTCCTATTTCTCAATACGGTCCCACTATAGATACAGTGATACAGATACAGTGTAGATAAGAATTTCAGGAACACACGTCCAGGAGAACCAAGTAGTGTATCTCCCAGCTTCTCAGCCTGGGCCCTGTGGACGCTGTAGACGTGATACTAGCATGGGCACACTTCACCTGGGGAGAGTGTCGCACAAGGGAACAACACTAATGGTGAAAGCAGTCTTCTTTCAAATGAACTTATTTGCTGCAGCTGCGTCTCTAACAGTAACTCATTGCTCTTTTTTTTTTTTTTTTTTTTAGGACCGCTGAAGCCAGAGATAACTGTGTCCTACATTGCCGTCGCCACGATATTCTTTAACAGTGGACTGTCGTTAAAAACAGAGGTACTGTCTCCTGCAGGCACACGAAGAGCAGTGCAGAAAAGCTAACTTGTCCTGAGTGCTGAAATTTCAGGGGCCTTGGTGAAGTTGTTTACTGTCTGCAGGCTTCACTGTGATAGAAAATGACTTGGACAAGCAGCAGGACTGGCATGCTGTATCTATATAGGAACTGCAGAGTTGAGCATTGAGGACCTAAGCATGGGACCTAAGCATATTTTGTTGTATTTACTTTTTTTTTTTTCTTTACCTTTGTAATAGCCTTGGCTGGAACTCACTTTGTAAACCAGACTGGCCTTGAACTCACACAGATCCAGTTATCTCTGCTTCTTGAGTGCTGATATTAAAGGTGTTCACCACCATGCTTGGCTGAGTGTTTTGTTGTTTTTTTGATGACTTTTTTTTTTTTTTGAGAGAGAGTTTCTTTGTGTAACAGTTTTTTTGAATTTTCTCTGTAGACCAAGCTGCCCTCAAACTCATAGAGATCTGCCTGCCTCTGCTTCCAAAGGGCAGGTACTAAAGACATGTGCCACCACCACCCGGCTTGATGACCATTCTTTTAATGAAGAAATTGGTATGAAAAATATCTTTATGAAGAGATGTAATCAAGGAAATAGAAAATAAGACTGTAATACTACATCTCACTACAGAAACAAGTTGTGTGGTATAGTAATAATTAAAAATGTATTTTTTAGCTAGGTACGGTGGCACATGCTCCTCATCATAGCGTCTTGGTTACTTTTCTGTTGCTGTGAAGAGACACTGTGACCAAAGTAACTTTTTTTTGGTCTTTTGAGGCAGAGTTTCTCTGTAGCTTTAGAGCCTGACCTGGAACTAGCTCTGTAGATCAGGCTGGCCTTGAACTCACAGAGATCTGCCTGCTTTTGCCTCCTGAGTGTTGGGATTAAAGGTGTGCAGAACCATTGCCCAGCCAGCCAAGGCAGCTCTTAGAAGACAGTGTCTAATTGGGGCTTGGTTACAATTTCAGAGGCTGAGAGCATTATCCTCAGGGTGGGGAGCGTGGCAGCAGACAGACAGACATGGTGCTGGAGAAGTAGCTGAGTTTGCTGTTGATACAACAACCAGGAGGCAGAGAGACCTTATTGGGTATGGTGTGGGCTTTTGAAACCTCAAAGGCCACCATCAGTGAAACACCTCCAGCAAGGCCACACCTCCTCCCCTTTCCCAAATAGTTCCACCATCTGGGGACCAAGCACTGAAATGTGGGCCTGTGGGGCCACTGTCTTCAGATGCCTTGTATTCAGAGCACTGAGTTTGAGATTAGCCTCAGCCACACAAAACAAGAACCAAAATAAGGAAATAGTTTTTCTTTTAAAAATTTGGTTTATTTTTCAATGGTATATATAAACATAAATTGGGAATATATCATTAGTATGGTAATGGACTTTATATCTTTCTTAAATTATGGAGAAAACTGTAGTATGTCTGCTCCACTAAGGTATATTGAGGCTCTTTAGGTTCTCACTGATCCAGGCTTCACTGAAATGCATTCTCTCAAAAGTAAAGACACCGAGAGAGGAGACAGGAAGAGATGTGACTCTGTTTCACTCAAAATGCAGGAAGAAAAGAGGTAATTCTGGGCGGCTTCTCAGGACTTCCACAGGTATAAAAATAAAGTTTCTGGGGACTGGGAGAGGCTTGATGAGTAATCCCTGTGCAAGTGTGAGGGGTGGAGTGTGTGTTCTCAGAACCCACAGAAAAGCTGGGTGGGTAGGGGTGGAATTCCCTGGTAAGATGGCTAGCTAATCTAGCCAAAGGGGAGTTCTGGGTTCATGGAGACACCCTGCCCCTCAGCAGACAAACTGAAGAGTGATTGAGGAAGACACAGGCCTCCAGATGGAAGCACATACATCTATATCCACTCATGTAAATGTGCATCCCCATGCAGGTAAACATACTTAAACACACAGCACACACATGCGAAAAGTAAATGTCACATCTTATTCGTGGGGAAATCCCATAATGTGGATTTTATTTTTTTCGTTCTTAGTTTTCTTTTGGTCTTCTGGGACAGGGTTTTTCTGTGTAGTTCTGACTGTCCTGGAACTCACTCTGTAGACCAGGCTGACTTTGAACTCACAGAGATCTGCCTGCCTCTACCTCCTATGTGCTGGGATAAAAGTGTGTTCACCACCACAGCCCAGCATTTCCCCGCCTCCCCTGAGAAAATTGCTTTAAGTGGGACAGTGTGGGGGATGCACTCCTTTAATCCCAGCACTCTGGGGGCAGAGGCAGGTGGATTTCTTTGGAGGCCAGCCTGGTGTACAGAGTGAGTTCCAGCAGAGCAGGGGCTTTACACAAAGAAATCCTCTCTTGGGGAAAAAAAAAACAAAAAACAAAAAAACAAACAAACAAACAAACAAAAACAATAAATAAGGCATGCCTTGGATCTCAGCACTCAGGGGGCAGAGATAGATGGATCTCTGTGAGTTCGAGACCTGCCTGGTCTAAAGTACTTAGTTCCAGGACAGCCTCCAAAGCTATACAGAGAAACCCTGTCTGGAAAAACTTAAAATATATAAACAAATGCCTTTAAAAGTTAAAATTCTGGTTCAGCTTTGTGCCTCTTACTTTTATTAGTATTACTAGGTTTTATTTATTTTTATTCTTTGGTAGTTTCATGCATTTATACAGTATATCTTGATCATATCCACTCCCAACTTCTCCATTCATTTCCCCTGACTGCAACCCATGCTTCTCCAGCCTTCATATCCTCTTCATCCTTCCTTCCTTCCTTCCTTCCTTCCTTCCTTCCTTCCTTCCTCCCTCCCTCCCTCCCTCCCTCATCCAGTTAGTGCTGCTTTAACGAGCATGAACAATCAGTAGGTACACATGTGAAATGAAATAACCTCCTGTTCCCAGCAGCCATCAGTTACCAGTAACTTCTTAGTTACAAGTAGAACCTCATGAATTCCTCCCCCTTCTGTGCTAAAATAATTACTACTATTTTTAAAGATTTATTCTTATTTTATGTGTATGGGCATTTCGTCTGCATGTATGTCTGTACCATATGCATGGAGGTGCTTGAAGAGTCAGAGGAATGCATCAGATCCCCTGGAACTTAAGTTATATACAGTTCTGAGCTGCCATGCTCGCAACTGGGAATTGACCTCGGGTCTTCTGGAATAGCAGCTTAACTGCTGAGCCATTTCTTTAACCATCCATGTTGGGATTCTTGACTTAGTTGATTTTGTGCAGGTCTTATGCAGGCAATCACAGCTACCAAGGGTTCATGAGTACAGCTGGCATGTCATGTGTAGAAGGCAGGGTTTTACAGCACTCCACCTGCCCTTAGAGTCTTTCTGTCCCTCTTAAGATATTCTCTGAGCCTTGTAGAGATTGAGATATTGTCTATGTAGGACCAAGCAATCAACAATTACTTATTTTTAGCACTTTGAATAGCTAGGAGTTTTTATATTAGCTGATGTCTACTGTAGAAAGGAGCGTCTCTGACCAAGGTTGGGAGCAGCATGAATCTATGTGTATAAATGTAAATATTTAGAAGGAAGTTTGGCAGCATGCCTGTCCCATCATCCCATGATCTCCCCAGCCATGGGCTTTCAACCAGGTTTACAGGGCCAGGCAAGAATTCTTTCCTGTGGAACAGGCTTTAAATCTAATTTTAAAATTGGTTGGTTACCTTCATAACAGTAATGCCATTATGTGCCTGGTGGGCACATCTAAGATAGCAGGTTTATATTCTGGACCCTTACACAGGGTCCAGTCTTAGATAGTGACGACTTTTATCCTCCAGTAGCCTTCTGGCACTAAGAAAGCTAGCTAGCAAAGAAATTTTCAGTTCAGTTCGGGCTTGATTTCTCTATATGCTATAACCAATGTGCATAGTGTCCTCAGCAATAGGGTCTTACCCTGTAATTATTGTGTGTAACCAAGTACAGTGGCAACAACTTGTGTTGTTTGATGCACCTTTGGGGTTTCCCCAACCAAAACTTGTAAGGAGATAGCTCATTCCTGACCTTGAGATTTTCACTTAATAATCCATGTCTTCTAGGGGAAGCATGGTCCACCCATAAACGATACACCCTTTCAAACACTTAAAAATTTATTTGTACAGACTTGTTTATTTTCATTTCATGTGTATAGGTGTTTTGTCTTCATGTATATCTGTGCACCATGTGTGCATTGCCCATGAAGGCTTAAAGAAGTTGAATGCCCTGGCACTTGAGTTACAGACCTGACATGCGTGTTCTGGTTACTGAACCTGGGTCCTCTAGAAGAATTGCCAGTGCGCTTACTGCTGAGCAATCTTCCCAACCCCCAAAGTCTGTCTTAAAAATTATATTTTAATTATTTATAAAATGATGGGTTTCTATGGAATTTTAAAATACCTTCTTAGTTATGGTTAACCCAGCCCCCAGCCCCTCCTTTCCTTCCATTCCCCTACTTCTAACCCTGCTCAGAACTTTAATCTCGGGTATCCCCCCTTCTTCCGTATCTTGTGTTCTCTCCTCCTTCCATGAAGGCCTGTTGCCCTCTCATGAGCCCTTTCTGAACCTCTACAGATACTCCAAATTAAACACACAAGTCTAAAAATCTGAAGCTGGGATGCACATGTGAGAGATTATACAGACTTTGTCTTTCTGGCCTTGGTTACCTCACTATAATTCTTTCCAGTTCTATCCATTTTTCTGTATATTGAATGATTTTATTTTTCTTTACAACTGAATAAAATTAATATATATATATATATATGCATTCATTATTCATTCATCAATTGATGGACATCTAGGTGGATTCCATTTCTAGCTATTGTCAGTAGAGCAGCTAGGATACACACGCACACACGCAGGTTTTTCTGTGGTAGGATATGGATCCTCTTTGTATGTTGCCAAGATTGTAGCTAGGTGACATGGTAGTGTGTGTGTGTATGTATATTATATTTAGGTTATAGATCTCTGGTAGGATATGGATCCTCTGGGATTGTCCCTAGGATTGTAGCTAGGTCTCATGGCAGGTTATTGGTATGATCTGAGTGAAGATTGTGCTGGCTACTTTTTGTTGACTTGACACAAAACTAGAGTCATCTGGGATGAGGGAACATTATTTAAGGGGTTGTTTCTATCAGACTGCTTGTATGAAGTCTATGGGCACATTTGCTTGATGATTAATGTGGGAAGATGATAAGAAGCAGGTAAAGCAAGCATGGAGAGAACAAGCCAGTGAGCAGCGTCTTCCATGGCCTCGGCTTAGTTACTTCCTCAGCAGTGATCTCTAACATGGAAGAATGAGATGAAATAACCATTTCCTTCCCAAGTTGCTTTTGGTCATGGTGTTTATCACAGTAATAGAAAAAAAACTCAGACGAAGACTACCGTTTCTTGGGTTAGCCTGTTGATAACATGGGGGACTGATTTTTTAATTTAAAAATTCAGTAGTTACTAGGCTGTTATAAATCTTGTGGGGAACTATACACACACAAACACACACACACACACACAGACGTATGTATATATATTTGATATGTGTAGGATTAGTGTGAAGTGTTTAGAACTGATAAATTGCATCCCAACAATTCTAAATATCCTCACTGATGGGTTGCCTTTCTGAAAATAACTGGTATAGGATGTGTTTTCCTGTTCTTTTAATTATAGGCCTTTTAGAAATGTTATTGGTTAGAGGTAGCCATTGTTAGAGGGAATAGGCTTTTTTTTTTTTTTTTTTGTATACCTGAGTTCTACAGTTGGTTCTAAACATGGGCAAGTGATGCAGAATGGTGTTTGCCATGTGTGGTGCAGGTCAGACATGACTTGGAGGTCTTCCTGCTGGCCTTGGCTCATGCTTTGTGGAGCGGCTGCCTGCCCAAAGTCCTCTGCTTGGGACATTGCTCTAACTACATCCCCTGGTGTCTAGTTAATGGCTATAGCTGGTATTTATGTCATGGAATATCTGTCAAGAGACTTCATGTCTCTTACTTCTCAGCTTCTAATTTAATGATATTCTGTAAAGCAGCAACTTTGTGGTTTGTAAGAGTTGATGGAGGAAGAATGTTCCAGCCAGCACCAGCCTTTCTCTAAGGACCCAGGAAGCCTTCAGAGGTTCCTAGCTAATTTGGATGTAATGATGAAGTGCTTTGATCCTGTACTTTATTGTGGTATATGAGTAGCCAACAAAGGCATTTCCTCCATGAAAGACCTTTTCAAACCAGTACAACAGTCAGTCATTTTCAAAAACCATTTAACTTGGGTTATGTCAATGACTAATGTCAGACCACCTCCAAGATAAACCCTGTTATTTTCAGGGTCAGTCCCACAGCTAGTTAGGAAGTGGGATGTAACAGTTTTGTAATTTATTTTTTATTCAATAATCCTAATTTAATTTTAAGTGGATCTATGATTTTTTTATGATTGTTTTCTATCTTATTTGGTTCTATAATAGTGTATTTTTGTTCACTAAAGATAGTAAATTATTGACTTGAGTCTATTTGAAAGCATTTGTTAGTCCTACTCAGCTTTGGTTTATATTGTATATTTTATGGAGTGTTATTCATACAGTGATTTGATGATGTATAATCTAGAATTAGTTTATATATTTATTTGACTTTGTGTTTGTATTTGTATATAGTGTATGTGTGTCTGTGTGTGTACACATGTGGAGGACAGGTGTTGGTGTCTGGTGTTCTCTGTTGTTCTCCACATTAGTTTTAAGATGGGGTTTCTCACTGAATCCAAGCTTACCAATTGGCTAAACTGGCTGTCTATTGAACTCCAGAGATCTGCCTGTTTCTACTTTCTCCTCTCCATGCACATTTGCCACACCCAGTGTTTTGCATAGTGCTGGGGTCCAAACTCAGGCCTTTATGCTTGTATAGCAGGCACTTTGCAAATTGATCCCTCTTCTCAGCCCATTCTACTAATTTATTAAAATCATAAAGTGTCCTAAGCTAATGCACTGTTAAACCTTTAGGTTTTTTTTTTGTTTGTTTGTTTGTTTTTTTTTTTTTTTTTTTTTTTGAGGTAGGAGTTCTCTGTGGAGCTCTGACTGTCCTGGAGCCTGCTTTGTATGTCAGGCTGGCCTCAAACTCACAGTGATCTGCCTCCCTCGGCTGGGAATTAAAGGCATGTACCACCACTGCAGCTAAATCTTCAGTTTTTTGACCATTGGTTTCTAATTTTTGAAAACTGTTTGAAATGATTTTGGAAACTTTATTATATTGAAGTATAGTACAATTTAACCTATCTTACGTTTAGCCAGTGTAGTAGTTGCCATTATACCTCTATGACCAAAATTTTAGACAGACACAACCTCAGAGAGGAGAGGCTTATTTGGGCTCACAGTTGGAGCTCCTCCTGCCAGGGACAGCACAGTGAGGCAGCTCTCACCAGCAGGGATGTGTGTGGAGGCTGTTCACATCATGGCAGACTAGAACCAAGGCCCAGGCTCTAACCTTCCAAGGTCTACTTCTGCCACACACCCCTCCCCCCTTAAAGATTCCATACCATCTGAAAGGAGTGCCAGCTGGCTGGGAGTCAGTGTTCAGAGTATGAACCCAGGGCTGGCGAGATGGCTCTGTGCTACAGTACTAACGCGGAAACACCAGGGCCTGGGTTGTAATCCTCAAACCCATGAGAGAACTAATGTATGCATCTATAACCATGGCACTGTCGGGCAGAATGGGTGATCCCAGGGGTGTCATCTAGCTGAAGTGGCAAGCTCCAGGCTCAATAAAATAAAATAAAAAGATAAAGAGGTGGAAATCGATAGAGGATGTCTGTGTATGCTTGGGCTGGACACCTGCACATTACTTGAACCTCTACTCACATAGAAGAATGAGCCTGTGGGGAGACTATACATAGTCTAACCTTACTATCCAACTTCAAACCTACAATGTCAGAGAACTTGTAATGGACTGTGGCAAGGCCAGGTCATTTAAACAAACACTTAAGGTCTGTGGCTACAGGGCATTGTGGTTAGTTCTAGAAACTCATCAGAGCTAGCTCGGAGCCTGCAGAAGGGTCCTGAGTAGGGCAAAATAGACAGTGTTTTCTTTATTTTTCTAAACTGATGATAATTTTTGAAATCCCATTAGCTGAAAAGTAAAACAGCAAATTCTGTTTTTGGTTCATGCTGCTTGTTTCAAACCAAGAGCTCTGATGCTGATGCTCAGAAAGGAAGGCCCAATAAGGACTGGAAAGGAAATTGATGTATAATTAACATATTTCTGCATCCTAGTCAGAACCCTGGTTTCAAGCATCTCTTGATGCTCCCTGAGGCTCTGCTATAGACAGCATGTGTTGTGGAATGGAATTTGACCTGTATTATGTGTAAATGAGAAAGCTGTCCCATGGAGCCAATTTTTAGTTATTCATGATGGTATACTCAAGCATGTGGCCTTAAATTCACATAAATAAGCATGAAATAATGCTATCTTGGGTTTTATAGAGCTTATGTCTATATGCATGTTTATGTGCACGTGTGTCCATGTGTGTACTCATGTATGTGTGTTAGCATGTTGGTGTGCCCATGTATATGTCTGTGTTCGTACGATTGATTGTGTGCCTGTGTGTGTATGTTTATGTATGTCTATGTTTGCCTGTGTGTGTGTGTGTGTGTGTGTGTGTGTGTGTGTGTGTGTGTGTGTGTGTGTGATAACTTTCAGGATTGTCCCCAGCCACTGTCTCTGATCCCCCATCCCTTTGTCTTTGTGACATGGTCTCACTGGCTTAGAACTCACCAAGTAGGCTAAGTTGGCTGGCCAGTGAGAGCCAAGGGATCTGCTTGTCTTTGCCTCTTTCATTCAAGGGTTACGAGCACATGACAACACGCCTGGCTTTTTAAAGATGGGTTCTGGGGATCAAACTCAGATCTTGGTGCTTGCAGTGGGATGGGGGTGGGAGTTCTGGAGGTGCAACCCAAGGCCTTGTGCAAAGATGACGTGCACTCTGTTACTGAGCACTCTCTCAGTCCCACCTAGCATTTCTTGAATGAAGGGACAAGTTGCCAGCTTTCTCCACAGCTTGTTGCAGGGGTAGAGTGTAAGTAAGGTCTCCTCCTTCATCTGCAGCGGTACGGTTAGTGGTTCACAGAGCTGGTTAGGCTTCAGCCTATTCAGTTATTCTCCCATGTGTTAGGGTCTTTGTTTGTTTGTTAGGGTCTTTGTTTTTAGTGTTTTGGTCTTTAAATCTCTGACAAATACCTGAGATAAATCAACTAAAGGAAAGAATGGTATTTTGGCTCATGGTTTCATAGCTTTCCATCTGTGGTTGGCTGCTTTGGTCAATTTGGCTGTAGTGAGGCTAACTGTTCTGGTGGGGGGAGGGGTTACTTCTTTCGTGGTGGAGAAGTAGGTTAACTGGGATGAAGCCCTACATAGGCTGGCACTTTGTTTTTTGTTTTTGTTTTTGTTTTGTTTTGTTTTTGGTGAGACAGGGTTTTTCTGTGTAGCCCTGGCTATCCTAGAACTCACTCTGAAGATCAGGTCTCGAACTCAGAAATCCTCCTGCCTCTGCCTCCAAAGTGCTGGGATTAAAGTATGTGGTACCACTGCCCAGCTTAAGGTAATTTTTAATGTAGGTGAAAGTGTTTTATTTCTGTCATCAATAATTATTGAATCTATACCACTTTAATGCTAGTTTGCTTTTACTGTTCTTTGAGTATATCATGTATTTGAAGGAAATCAGAGAGCTCAGAGATTTTATACAAAGCTTTTATAATCATTATCGTACTTGTTCTGCTATAACCCCTTTCTTGTACAGGTGCTTATAAATATCTAAGATTTGAAACAATTCAGCATTCAGAGCTAAGGGCCATGGCATCACTTGAGTAGTGCTCTTTGCAGAGTTTTTCTTACCTTTGCCCTCGTGTCCTTCACTCCCCAGGAGCTGACCAGTGCTTTGGTGCATTTGAAACTGCATCTTTTCATCCAGATCTTCACACTTGCCTTCTTCCCAGCAACAATATGGCTCTTTCTTCAGCTCTTATCAGTCACATCCATCAATGAATGGCTTTTAAAAGGGTATGTTTAAACCTTTTGATGGGTATTCTTTTAATGGGGCAGTTCTAGTTACATTAATGTTTCTATGGCAGCTGCAAAGAAAAAGACTTGTATTATAATGAGACCACCTCTTAAACACTGTCTGTTAAAACAGTAAGAATTTCACCAGAGGTTCAGGGAAGAATTGATTAGCAGAATCTTAAAGTAGATGCCTGTGCCTAATTTTAAGGTTCCACAATGTACATTTTCTGGGCATTTAAAATGAGTAGGAGAGGAACTAGGGATCTGTTTCTATGAAAGAGTGCTTGCTTATAAAAGCATGAGGACCTGAGCATGCCTGTAAACCCCAGGTTGTAGGAGATAGGAGGACTGATAAGGCTTGCTGGCCACCAGCTTCGTTCCAGGCTCAGTTCCTGTCTCAAGGATATAACATAGGGATTGAGAATGTATTATAGCTGATGTTCTCCTATGTTTTCTGGACCTGCACAAACACACGCACCCATGCCCCCTTCACAAAAGTGAACATTGGAAGATACTAGAGGGTTCCAGATCTGTCTGCATGGGAATGTAGGCTGGCAACTGGTCCCTTGCTGTGGCTATCTGTATCTTTTCAAGCATGTACTGATAATGGCTGAGTAATGTCTTTTTAAAATGCATAATAGAAGTGTATGTGTGGGACAGATAAATAATTTTTCACTTATTCTGTTTTATGTTGATGTTATAGTTAATTTAACAGTAGATTTATTAGAATGTTTTCATGAAAAAAGTTATCATGTTTAATGAAAAGAATTTAGCAATTGAAAAACTAATTAAAATAGTTTCAATCTAACCTCACTTCATCATGTTATAGCTGCTGACACCAACTTCAGAGCTGAGAGATTTCCCTCTGACCCTAACCTTGGCACATTGTGTGACTTTCAGTAAAATTATCTCATAGTTTAGACCTGTTTTTCTCTGTATAAATTAGGACAACCATACACTTAATAATGGTGTTTGACTGCATCAAAATTTTCCATCCATGGCATGATTTCTCTGTTATCCATTTAGCCCTACTATGTACCAGGGCTTATTTCAGATGCTGCAGAAAGTATAGCAGGCAAAAGTGTCTATGTGCTAATGCATTGGCCCAGAGGTACATACTCAGCAGTCAGGAGGAAGGGCACAATGAAAATGAGTGACGTCAGAGGGAAATGTGGTACAGTGGGGTGGTGTGGCCAGGCTGCTGCTGAACTCTGACTCTTCCCAGAGTTCTTGGGGAGGATATTCTTGGCAAAGAAAATAATATTCAAAGGCAGTCAGGCAAAAACAAGCCTGGGATGTTGTATATAGGTTCAGTAAAGCAACCCAGTGGGCATGTTAAGAAGGACAATAGGAGTTGGAGGTTTTGAAAGGTACACACAAGCTGGGTACACAGTCTAGTCAACCACATCCCTGTGTTGAGAAGGAAGCTGCTTCAAGGGCTGCAAGCAGCAGGTGATGTGAGTTCTACTAGCATGGGAATCTTTTGGCTGTGATACGGATAGTAGAGGGGCTTGGGATGAAATTAGGGAAATAAATGTGGAGGCCAGTGGAATGTGGGAGTACAGCAGAGAAATGAGTATGATAGGAGACATTACAGATTAGAGTTTTTGTGACCTCTGTATTGGGTGGGAGGCTGTGGCAGTCATCAGGAGAGTAAGGCTTCAGGGCTGAGCCACAGGGTGAATGGCAACTTGGTTTACCGAGTTCGGGGACACTGATAGCCTAGGAGTAGAGAGGAAGATTAGGAATGCACTTTTTACTGTATTGTGCTTCAGAGAAGGAGCAATACCTTCCACCAGGAGAGGTAAAATGCCTCATAAATAAGATAGCTTCAGTTTCAGAGCATTGATGTCATTCTGTGTACTAAGAATTGGGAAGTACTGAGCATCTACTGTGGATGGGGCATGCAAGGTGTAGGAAGATGTTCTTTATTTTCCTCAGGGAACTCTCAATCCAGTTGAATACATATAACATAGATACACTATTTATACATGTTTACACATGCTTCTGTGTTTATATTTCATATATATATATACATATATATATATGATGATGAATGATAGAACATACCAGTTAAAGCTTTCTTTAGAGTCAGCACCGCCTCCCCCCCCCCCCCCAGGATGTTAAAGGAGCCTACACATGCTCTCCCTCCTCTAGAGAAATCTCTTCTCAACCCAAGGCCTCCTTAGTTTGAAAAGATATACTAGTATGTTTGTGTTCTGGTTTGTTCTTCTGTTGCTGTGGTAAATACCATGACCAGTAGCAACTTGGGAAGGAAAGGGTTCATTTCATTATACTTTGAGGTGACAGCTCATCATTAAGGGAAATCAAAGCAGGAACTGAAGCAGAGACCATGGAAGAATGCTGTTTATTGGCTTGCTCTCTGTGACTTACCTTTCTTATATCCAGGCCCACTTGTCTATGATAAGTAACACATGGAGCCGCACACTACTCCAAAGTTCAAAGTAGATCATGAGATGAAAGGGCTAAATTTATTCTGGAGCTCTATTGTATAAGGTATAATATCTACTTGATATGTTCTGATGGCACAGTACTAAGGAGACTGAGGCTGGAAGATTGGGAATTTCAGCCCTCTTGGGTTACATGGTGAGTTTGGGCCAGACCAAGTCCCAAAAAACCCAGCCAACTAATCAATCAAACAAACAAACAAACAACAAACAAACAAAACAAAGCAAATCTTCCCAGGTCCTTTGTCCCTACTTTGAGTGACAGGCCTCATATGTTGCCCAGGCTGGCCCTTCCTGACGCCTGTGGTTTCAGTATCCTCGGAACTTTCCTCCCAGTTAGGTCATATTTTCTTCAAATACTGAGGGATGCTCTTTAGTTTTAGTCCTTAGATTTACTGCCTATAGTTTGGTTTGCCTGGCATGCGGTTGATTTTCTACACTAACTGAAAGAGTAGACTTAATCTCATGACCATGGACATATGGACATAATTTAATAAAAATAATTTTAGTAGATATTAGAATTCACTATGGGATCTGAATTCAAGATGTGTGAGATTACATCACTGCTTCCAAAATAACTACAACATGAGAACGTTGTTTGAGAGATGAAAGTGGAGAATTGTAAAATGTAAACTTCTATTTATCAAATATTTTGAGTTTTAAAGGTCATCTTGAGGCTTTATTTTTTACCAAAAGATCTTCTATAAAAATACAAGGAAGATTTTCTTGTGACAAATGTTCATTGTGTTGCTTGTATTGTCTTTGAACTCATGCTCCTTCTGTCTCATGTTCCAATGAGCTGGGACCACAGGTGTGTACTAGTTCCACGGGAAGATAACTATGGCAGTAACCCAAGATTATAGTATCTGTTTTTATTATCGCTCAGTGACTTCACTTACTACAACCTGGTTCTTTTTTGGACTCTGTAATCAAAGAGTGTTTGTGTGTGTGTATGTGTTAATGAGAAGGGGGTCTCATGTATTGCTTGGATGGATTATTGACCTGCCTTATTTTATGTAGTTTGAAGGATAAAACCAAGGCCATTGTGGGTGTTAAACAAGCACTCTGACAGCTGAACTAAACCCCAGCCCCTCAAAGTTGAAATTATGTAAAAAAATAAAACCTTTAAGCCTGTATGATGTTATGAGCTATCAAGGCCCATACATTTATTGCAACTTCTAACCCATGTTGTCCCATAGTGTCTAAGATCAACAGGGAGAGTATAGAGATAAACATTGTTTTTTTGTTTGGCTTTTTGCTCTTGTAGGACTAATTAGTGGAAATGATCTATATCTGGAAATGAGGAGCTATTTACAGTTTGATTTTCTCTTATTTTTCAGTTTGCAGACAGTAGGTTGCATGCCTCCCCCTGTGTCCTCCGCTGTGATTTTAACCAAGGCAGTTGGTGGAAATGAGGTGAGTCATGGGGGTAACCTTATTTAAACACTAGTGTGTGCTGTGCTTCTGTTAGAGTCAAGACTCATTGCAGAAAACACATGTGAGCCACTTATGAAAGATATGGCTGCTTGCATGCATTGGGTTGAGGCGAAAATTGGTGATGTGTGGAACTAGAATTCAGATAGAAGGGCAAGAGAGAGGAGTGAAGTAGAGATGGTGAGCTTCCTGTTTGGTAGGAAGCTGGGGATGAAGGGATCTTTGCCACCAAACACACTGACTCGAGGCTGTGGCCACTTCCTTAAAAAACAAAAAGTCAAAAGACTACAATAAATTGAATTGCTGGGATCAGTATGTTTATAAATATAGATCATGTTAAAGAAGAAATCAGGTCACATTCTAGGATGAGTTCAAAGAAATTACCGAACTGGCTGTTTCCAGCAGTTGTAGATGCTTCTTCCTTGGTTGAAGGGCTCTGAGAAGTTGTGCTGAGGGATCTCCCTCTATTTTTATCTGTGAAGAAAGTGCTCTTGGGGGAGATGTAATAGGGTTTCCCATTTCATCCCTAGGATTCTGCTTCCTAAGCATGAGTTACAATTTTCATCCAGTTATTGTTTTTAAAAATACTTAACCGAATGCCTGCTACATTCTTTTGAAAATAACTTTGTTAAGCTTATTACATGTGATAGACTATACACATATCTATCATCTATGTATCATCGATCGACCATGTCTATCAGTCATCAATCTGTCATCTGTGTACTTATTTGTATTCTATTTATCATCTATTCACTCTCATGTATTTCTACTATGTATCATCTAATCATTTATCTATCTATCTACTTACCATCTTTGATTGGATAGTTTTTGTTTGTTTGTTTTTGTTTTTCAAGACAGGGTTTCTCTGTATTGCTTTGGAGCCTGTCCTGGAACTAGTTTTGTAGACCAGGCTGGCCTCGATCTTTGATTGAATACTTACCTATTATCTATTTATGTACCTGTTTATCTATATATCATTTATCTGTCATTTATCTATCACTTTATCTATCCATCTATCATCTGTCTATCTATTATCTACCTATCCTGTACCTATGTCTGTGAAACCATCATTTAAAGTTAAGACAGGTATCATGGTTGCATATTTTTTTCCAGTCATGTTTAGCTTCTTGGAGTAGGAATGGAATGGAGTAGGAATGCTAACTTGAGCAGTTTCTTGTGCTGAATATTTTTATTTGCCACACAGTTGATATATCTAATCTAGAGCCTATGTTAATTTACTTAAAGATATCATGTCTCTCATTCTTTTAAATGCAATTCCCATTAGAGGAATGGCTAGACTGAAGACGGTGAGCATACTCCTTGCTTCCTATGTCCAAACTGGGTAATTATGAAAAGCAGGGATTTCTTTCTTTTAGCCTGAGAGGTAGGTAATTCTGGGTTGGAGACCTACATTTGGTGAGTCTTTTCTTGCTGTTCCATCCCTTGGTGAAAGGGGAAGAGAGAGCAGGAGAAGGACCTCATAGCCTTAAGTGTCCTTCCGTCATCATGTCCCTGTGTTGTCCCCGTCCCTGTCCACCTCTCCTCCCCCTCAAGACAGGGTTTCTCTGTGTAACAGTTCTGGTTGTCCTGGAACTCGCTCTGTAGAACAGGCTGGCCTCCAACTCACTGAGATCCGCCTGTCTGTGCCCCTCAAGTGCTGGGATTAAAGGTGTGTGCCACCACTGCTGGGCTCTTAAACCTTTTTTATTTAGAGTTAATTCATTCTTGAGGGTAGATGTCTCATGTCTTAATTACCCTCATTAGGCTATACTAGATTACACTAGAACAGTGGCTCTCAGCCTGCCCTTTAATTCAGTTCCAAATGTTGTGATGGCCCCCAACCATAAATTACTTTCATTGCTACTTCCCAACTGTAGTTTTGCTACTGTTAGGCATTGTAATGTAAATATCTAATATACAGGGTGTTCTAGTCAACTCTGTGAAAGGGCCATTTGACCCCAAAGGACTGGTAACACACAGATTGAGAAACACTGTTAGAGGTTAAGTTTCCAATGAGTAAATTCTAGGAGCACTCATCTCACCCATTGTTTGTTATTTTGAGATGGGTGTAGCATGAGAAATAAAAGATCCAGCACTGATATTGGGGTTCAAGCTTCAAGTTGAAGATCAGAAAAGCAAAGCAGCCAGCCAGTAGATCTTACCTCTACCTTAGCTCAGACCAAAGGAGTGATCCTCAAACTCTTCCCAACTTCACTGCTTCACTCAGACTGCTATTCTCTCCTCATTGTGGCTAGAGACTTCAATGTCTTCCTATCATCAATGTGGCTGGAGAGTGAATGCCAACTCTGAGACCCTGTTCCTGTCCTATCTTAAATATCTCTCAGGAGTCCTGGGATTAAAGGCATGTGATTCCAAGTGCTGAGATCATCTTTGTGTGAGCTGTTTCTCTTTAGCACTGGATGTATTTCTTATAGCTCAGTGTGGCCTTGAACTAACAGAAGTCGTCTGCCTATACTTCCCAAGTGGTAAGATTAAAGGAGTGTACCACCACTGCCTGGCTTAATTTACTCATTATAATTATTTTGAAACTCATATATTTTGTGTTCACCAATCTTTAGGCTGTTATTTATTTATTTATTTATTTATATCGCTTATATTATTTATTATTTATATTGCTGAGTGGTGTTCTGTGGGGGTACAGATTGTTTATCCTCTTACCTGTTGATAGACATGTGGACAGTATCACATTTGGAGTTTGAGTGTTCATGTACAGTGGGCAGACATTGCTATTTCTCTTGGGGAAAATATATTAGTGGAATAGCTGGGTCCTTTGATATTTTATTGCCTTTGGATGAGGAATCATCTTTATATAGTTTTAATTTCCTGTTCATAGTTTCTGAAGTGGACAGTTTCCAACAATGAATAGAATTCTTTCTATATCAAAATGGATGTGTAACTGTTGAAAGAAATTTCCAAACTAATTTCCAAAGTGGTTGTATCATTTTACATTTAATGTCTTACAACCTGGTTATCATTCAATTTTGTCAGTTTAAAATTTTTACCATTCTAATATATCCATAGTGTTATCACATTATGGTTTTAATTAAGCTTGCATATCCTAGTGACTAATAGTGTTGAGTATCTTTATTGTGCTTATTCACCATCTGTCCAAATGTCTTCTTGGCCAAAGTGCCTATTAAATCTTCGCTCAGTTTTTGGAATTGAGTGGTTCGCTTTACTGTGAGCATTGAGAAGTTCATGTGTCTTGATGAAGAGCCCTTCCTCAGCTGCAAGCACTGTGAACATCGTCCCCAACCATGAGGCTTGCCTTTTGGACTCTGCTGTATTCTGAAGGCATAGGATATATATACTGATGAATTGTGTTATGTGACTCAAGGGAAAATGAGGAGACAAGACTGATCCAGGTTTGGACTAAGCAATGGAAAACATGTGGTTGCTCATGAAGAATATTGCTGCGTGGGGTCAGGTTTGGGGGAGTACTAGCCTAGGATGCTAGGATATGATGGGATTCTTAAGAATTCCTAAGTCTTCCTAAGTAAAATCTACATATTTATTCACAATTATTCTTTGCTCATAATTTGTGCTCCCTGAGATTTAGCAAGGGAGTCTGGAGGTACTTTTATCTGGTAGGAACAACATTTGGAGGGAGCACAGAATTGTCAGCAGCCGTAACATGGGGTAGGTAGGGGAAAACAGTATCAGAGTCACAGGGAATTTTCACTACTGAGGTTGGCAGTAATGCTGTATTGCTGCTGTAATCTACCTCATGGATGCTGGGCACTGAACCTGGGTCCTCTGTAAGAGCCATATGCACTATTAACTGTGGCGCCATCTCTCCAGACCCAACAGTGTCATTTTACATAGTACTTACATTTTGCAAAGTTGTTAGATGACTTGGGAGGTAATGCTTTTTGTTATTTATTACCTTTCATTTTAAGTAATTTATTCTTAAAAATAATTTTTAACTTTATGTTTTATGTGCATTGGTGTTTTATTGCTGCATGTATGTCTGTGTAAAGGTGCTGGATCCTCTGGAACCAGAGTTATTGATGGTTGTGAGCTGCCATTGTGGGTGCTGGGAATTGAACCCAGGACCTCTCTAGAGGCAGTCATTGCTCTTAGCCTCTGAGCAATCTCTCCAGGCTGTAAAGGGAAGTGGAGCTTTTCTTTTGTCCAACAGGCTTTGTGGCTTTACCTGTTCTCTAGATGGCTCATTTCTCCTCTGGATTCTCTCTGTATTTTCAGTTTAGCTTTCTTGCCTAGCCTTATTCTCCCTTTCTATAGGCCAAAGTAGCTTCTTTATTAACCAATGAGAAAAATACATATTCACAGCATACAGAAAGATTATCCTACAACACCAGTCTCTATAAATTATTTCTAATAATAATTGTTATTATTCAACTGGTTGGTAATGGCTCACATTTTTAATCCCAGCACTCAGGAGGCAGAGGCAGGTGACTCTCTGTGAGTTCGAGACCAGCCTGGTCTACTGAGTTCTACGTCAGCCTCCAAAGCTACAGAGAAACCCTGTCTCAGACTCCCCATCCAAAATTGTTATTGTTGTTTTGTTTTTGAGACAGGGTTTTTTTTTTTATATATAGTCTAGCTGGCCTGGAACTCACTGTGTAAAACTGGACTCAGAGCTCTGCTTGTCTTTGTCTCCTGATTGGGATTAAAGGTGTGCACCACCACACCCAGCAAATTATTTATTTTTACAAGATTTTTTGTGGACTTACTACATTCCTTTTAACTTTGTCAAGAAGTAACATGTGAATGTTGGAGTAGCTTTGAACATGAGTCTTTTTCTGGGACACCTAGGGCCTGGGAAACTTGGTGGCCACCAAGGCTGCCCTGTCCCAGTGGTGTTTGGGTTCTTGTCTTGTGAACTGGAAAATGAAATTTAGAGATCATAGAGGGTGACTTTTAGAGAAAAGTTTATTATAGATTTGTATAGGTAGGAGCCTGAAAGAATGAGGGAGGAAGGGAGAGCCACAGCTCAT